GAGCCGGGGAGAGGCAGGGAGAGGCGAGCGAGAGGCGGGGAGAGGCGAGCGAGAGCCGGGGAGAGGCAGGGAGAGGCGAGCGAGAGGCGAGCGAGAGGCGAGCTCCGGGGTTTGAGAACTCAGACTGGGCGAGTGACATGCGGAAGTACCGCTGAAAGCGAAACTCCTCCGTACGCAGCTCCTGGAGTAAATGACGGAACTCTGCAAACACTGCAGCCTCTCAAGTCTGTGGTGAACCCAGAACATGTTTTGTTGAAGCCCTACAACAACGTTATTTTGCTTTATATAACAAATAAAGGCTCGCTGCTCATTGAAAAATCCACCGCTGTCCTGACTACAGAGAACAGAGAAGCTCCTCCCACCGGCGTCAGGCGCGTCACTCGCGTCAAAAGCTTCAAGCACCAAAATGACAAAACTATCCCGGCGTCAGTTGAAGCGCGTCAAAAGCTTTTTGAAGCTTTTGGTCTGAACGCGCCTTGAGGGAGCGCCCAGCCACTCTGCGGAGGAAGCTCATTTCGACCGCTTGTATCCGCGATCTCGTTCTTTCGGTCATTACCCAAAGCTCATGACCATAGGTGAGGGAGGGAACGAAGATTGACCGGTAAATTGAGAGCTTTGCCTTTCGGCTCAGCTCCCTCTTCACCACAACGGTCCGATACAGCGACCGCATCACTGCGCACGCTGCACCGATCCGCCTGTCAATCTCACGCTCCATCCTCCCCTCACTCGTGAACAAGACCCCGAGATACTTGAACTCCTCCACTTGAGGAAGGACCTCTCCACCCACCTGCAGAGGGCAAGGCACCTTTTTCCGGTCGAGCACCATGGCCTCGGATTTGGAGGTGCTGATTCTCATCCCAGCCACTTCACACTCGGCTGCAAACCGTCCCAGTGCATGCTGCAGGTCCTGGTTCGTTGGAGCCAGCAGGACGACATCATCCGCAAAAAGTAGAGATGAAATCCTGTGGTTCCCGAACCGGACCCCCTCCAGCCCCTGGCTGCGCCTAGAAATTCTGTCCATAAATACAGTGAACAGAACCGGTGACAAAGGGCAGCCTTGGCGGAGGCCAACATGCACCGGGAACAGGTCTGACTTACTGCCGGCAATGCGAACACAGCTCTGACTCCGGTCATACAGGGACCGGACGGCCCTCAGCAGAGGACCCCGGACCCCGTACTCCCGGAGGACCCCCCAAAGGACACCCCGGGGAACACGGTCGAACGCCTTCTCCAAATCCACAAAGCACATGTGGACAGGTTGGGCGAACTCCCATGAACCCTCGAGTATCCGATGGAGAGTATAGAGCTGGTCCAGTGTTCCGCGACCGGGACGAAAACCACACTGCTCCTCCTGAATCAGAGATTCGACCATCGGACGTAGCCTCCTCTCCAGTACCTTGGAGTAGACCTTACCGGGGAGGCTGAGAAGTGTGATCCCACGATAATTGGAACACACCCTCCGGTCCCCCTTCTTGTAGAGAGGGACCACCACCCCGGTCTGCCACTCCATTGGCACCGCCCCCGATCGCCACGCGATGTTGCAGAGACGTGTCAGCCAAGACAGTCCTACAACATCCAGAGACTTTAGATAGTCAGGACGGATCTCATCCACTCCCGGCGCCTTGCCACCATGGAGGCTGCCAACCACCTTGGTGACCTCGGCCAGGGAGATGTAAGTATCCGCCCCAACATCCTCAGCCTCTGCCTCCTGGACGGAGGACGTGGCGGGGGGATTGAGGAGAACCTCGAAGTATTCCTTCCACCGCCCGACAATATCCCCAGTCGAGGTCAGCAGCCCTCCACCCGCACCATACACGGTGTTGGCAAAGAACTGCTTCCCCCTCCTGAGGCGCCGGACGGTTTGCCAGAACCTCTTCGAGGCCGACCGATAGTCATGCTCCATGGACTCTCCGAACTCCTCCCAGTCCCGGGTTTTTGCCTCTGCAACAGCCCGGGCCGCGGCACGTTTGGCCTGCCGGTACTGGACAGCTGCCTCAGGAGTCCCACGAACCATCATTGCTCGATAGGACTCCTTCTTCAGCCTGACGGCATCCCTTACTGCCGGTGTCCACCACCGGGTTCGGGGATTGCCGCCGGGACCAGCACCAGAGACCTTGCAACCACAGCTACGAGCCGCCGCATTGGCGATAGAGGAAGAGAACGTGGTCCACTCGGACTCGATGTCCCCCTCCTCTGCC